TGGAGTTGGAAGTATTAAGCTTGACGTGGACAACGCAAACCCCCTCAAAATTGATGTCTTGGTAGTAGATGGAGAGCTACTGGGTTTTGACTTGTTGCTTGGATTCGACACCACTAAAAAGTTGGGTGGACTCCAAATAACACAGTGTGGCGATATACGGTTTCCCAAGCATGGGATAGTCTGTTACACTGCCATTAAAATAGAAGAACCTGATTTCTGTGTCGAATTTGACCTAAACCGGAAGATATGGGCCACATCATGGAAGTGGCCTGATGGTCAATCACTGGAGAGTTTGAAAAATCGGATGCCCGAGTACCCAATACCAACGGGAGTCAAGGAGGAATACGACCGTGAGCTGCACACCTGGCTTGATAACAGTTGGTTGCAGCCTTATCCTGAAAAGGAACTTGGTCCTCCAAAAGGTTTAATTCCGCTTGATGGCGTGGCAGAAAACAAAAATAAAGTGCGGCCAGTATTAGACTATCGAGAGCTGAATGAGTAGCCCCTGACGCACACACAGCCAATACTGACGTGTGCACAGAAACCGGGAGGGAGTGGTGTAAAGAAGGAACGGATGTCGCGTATCCTGACCTACAGCAGGCCTAGCTACAAGTACATATTCACAAGTCACTTTGGCCCTTTCGAACTGTAATCTTTCAAGGGGTGAAGATATTGCTTGACCCGGTCGGGGTTTCGGTTGAATGTTGCACCAGCCATAATGAAGGCCATTGTGGACACCGCAACAGAAAAGATGAGTCCATCTGATGGGCAACCTCATCATATATTGATGTCATTTATGTTGTTAGAGCATGATTTCAGCAGCTCAATGTGCAAGAGTACTTGCGCTTTTGGTTTGACCTGCAAGATCTGGAGCAGTTACAGGACGGCACATGTGCTGGGTTTGCATGTCGCGAAGATAACAACACGCCTAAGGACACGTGAAATTGGCATTCCATCAGTTCCTGAGGTCCTGACACAACATAACGTCTTCTCGTGGAGGGTCACGTTCCTGTGTATGGGTGGCTTTATGTTGCTGGGGAGTCCAACTTTGTTTTCACTGCACCTATATTCCTGCAGGAAACGGTATAGTGGAAAGATCTCATTGGAGCATAAAATAATTGCAGCAAGAAAGAGTGGTTTGATAATGGAGGCAGTATACTGGCATAATATCACACTGAAGGATGATATATATCGCCGACTAACGCGCCTGCCAATATGATTTCCGTTACCAACTGAAAGTAAAGGGAATTACTACAACATTACCACCTGATCGTTGTAAGTATCACGATATATACAAAGTTGGGAACAGAGTATGGGTGATCTCCCCATGGCGGTGTACCTCCAGGTATCAAGTGGGTCACGGACGGACATTGTAAGTCCACAAACAATACTAGTTGACAGGATGCCACGGCATGTAAAAGATCCTTGCCTTTTTGTTAATTCTGATACATCACTGAGTGAATCCACTGATGATTCATCATCTGACCATGAGTGAATAATTGAGATCTGCGAATCCGATGCTTCCACAGACACAGAACTTCCGGAAACTCGAGATACGTCTAATGACTCCTCAGGAGACCACTTTCTGACACATGTAAGGGAAATAGTGCCATTATGATGAAGCACCTGGATAAAGAGAGCTGCTCCAGACTGTTCGATATGTGATAGTGAGATCAGGGGGAGTATAATAAGAAAACGGCAATTTACCTTTGTCAAACCAAGTGACAGCGCGGTATTCTATTTATGGAAAATGTGGTGAAAAAGAAAATTACTTACCAAATAAAAAGGGCACGATTCTGCATGTCATGCTGAAAATGGAATATTTGAATTAAAAAACAAGTCCGTCGCAGGAGTTGCTATAAAGGTATTTTGATATGAAAATTACTGAACATCCTCTCCCAGCTGACGATGAATGGAAAAAATGTCCAGCTGATAAAAGCAGTTGGTGTTCTCAAATCGGGGGAAGAAAAAAAAAACGTTGGCTATTTTCGCTGCCGCGTCTGTTGGAGTTATTTTTCTGACTGGTGGCGTGTATTGGGATTTGTGAAATAGTGCTTGTGAATCGAGTTTTCAGCCATTTTCTTTCTGTCCCCAATGTTCGAGTCTGAACTTAGTGATTTATTCTTTGTGACGTGGAAATAATCTGCGACAAACATTTCCTTTGCAATCCCAGATCGCTTACAGACTTAAAATTGAAAAAACTTAAAATATTGAAAAGTTTTTATATTCAAAACAAAAATTTGTAACTCATCTAATGGAAAAGAAACTAATTTTAACACACATCTCAATATTCAACGTCCTATTGTTCATTTCAGTTTTGTATTAGAACCTAAGCCTGATTGTTTTAATCCATTTGCAGATAATTTCAAAGAATCCTTGAGAGAAATCTAAAAAAAAAAAGGATTAGCATTGATTTACTGGGTTTACTTATGATACACATGAAATTTATGTAAGGCATCCTACACCTATTAGAAAACTGAGATGTTCACTACCTGAGAGGAGAGGGGGAATTAAACAAAAGAAAAAGTAAATGAATGGGCTAATACTCATGCTAAGTTAACATAAACTTCCTATAATTATAGATGACGATATCAGTTGGGAAGTGGTAAACTTCTCAACTCTATGGATTTCCTTCTGCCACATTATCCATATGATGAATCCCAATTAAATACAAGAACACATAGCGCTCAGTTTTTTTCTAGTAGCAGTATCACATTGCTCCAAACAGAACTGGTCTCAAGGACAGAAATTTCCATACAGCATGCAAACCACAAGATCTTCAACCAGCTCATGCACCAAGTATTAAAAGGTTGCAATGTAAGAAGGTGTCCATGCACAGCAGTGCAAGTGTTCTGACATAACTGCCATTACCACTGCAGAGCTTTTTATCATCCCAAGGGTCAAATCACAACATTAGCCAGATAAGTGATGCCTCATCATTACTGAGGCATGGAGAACAAAACTCCCATTTCATCAGGCTGAGCTCGACCATCAGATCATGGACCCCCTAACTAACATGATATAATACCTTCTGGAATAATGGCAGGGTGACAAAAAAGCTAGCCATCACCCATAAAGAGAATGTCAAAACTCAACATTCGTGATGAAAGGAGTACTCAACTCAGGACATAGAATGGGCCTCCCTCTCACACAAGTGTAACAATATGATTTCTCACACATCTTTAGAAGATAATTAGATAAATTTCTTTTCTTTTAAGCCCACTTAATTATCTGAGTTTTGTAGAGATTTTGTCTCTAGTCCATCTTTGAGTAAACTTAAGTGTCAGTGTTTTCTGGATTCATGTCTCCAGTCCAGTTCACCTTTGAATTGGGAGACATAAAAATTTTATCAATGATTTTAGATAGTCATAAAAGTAGTCCGTTGAAGATTTGACCACCCATGTGGCTTTGGTGGGGTTTCAAACCTTCCGGAACACAAATGGATGGAGGGGTTGGGATCCCAGAGAGAGAGGCAGGAAGTTGAGAGAGAAAGGGGGCCTAGCCATAGGAGAAGTAGGTAGGTGATCAGTCTAGTTAGAGCTGCCTTGTGGCCATTGACAGAAGGACAGGCAGTGAGGAATCAGCAGGGACCAAAGCAACAGGTACTGAATGTAAGGGTCCTTTTCCATGGCCGGAGGCTTAGTTAGCAGCCCACCCTCTGAGCTGAAGAAGAATCCCTATGGTTAAGTGAGAACCCATTTTTACCGCCCAACCAGAGAGTCTTTGAAAACAATTTTCAATCCTTTTTTTGAAGGCAATGTGGCTGAGAAGACAAATCTGTGCACATAGCTTAGATGGGTGCATATGCAAAAAACATTTAACCAGGTCCCATGAGCAGAAAACAGTGCAGTGAAAACCAACAATTGGAAAACGTCATCACAAAACTTGTCACAATTTTGTCACAAATGGCATCACACAAGTACACACTTCTCAAAAATTGAAAGGCTTCCTTGTTGCGAATGTGTTAATGAATCTCTGTGCTTGGCATAGCTAAACCCACAAAACATAGAAGCTTTCATACCCCATGAGAAACAGAAACTAATTAACAAGATTGAATAGAGATTTCTTCAAACATGGAGAAGGTCATTGAAGAAGGATGAGGTAGATGTGCAAAACAAACTTCTGTCTTACCTTTTAAGGAAAGGTTTTTCAGAAACAAAAATTTTTGCAGTCTTTTTTTCTAACTTATCCAACCAATTTTTTTTTTTTTTGGAGGTCAGCACAAAACAGATCCTATTAAATTGCAAAGCTCAAATCTATCCATTTGAGTTAAAAACTTCCTTCTATATGGTGTTATGGTAATTTACCCACACATGCATGGACTCTCCCAGCTATAAATAGGAGCAGATACTGCTTTTATGGAGAGGGAAGTTTCCAGCAGTCAGCTCTGACAGTCAGACCAAACATTCTTGCTGTAACACTCTCGTTTGTATATGTTTGTATTACTGTTTCTGTTAATATATTTATTTAACTCAATTCCTCTCTAACAAGGCCACAACAATATCTAAGAGACTTATCAATTTTGGCACTGCTTATTATAAGCACAGACATGTCATTAGCATAAGTGGTGTACCCGGACAGTGGCACCAGGTAATGCAATATTTTGTAAGAGTGAATTCACTGTTAATTTGCAAAGGAAATGTTTTAATGCTAGTTACAAATCAATACCAAAAGTGGATATTTAAAACTATGAAAGCTCAAAACTGTTCTTACTTCCACTTTTGAATTCGTTTTTGTATCAGTATTTAATAAACCAATTTTCTTTGTTTTCTCTATCTACACTTCAAAAGGTTTCCAAGACATTCTAACAATTTTCCTATTGCTAAAATGTTTGTGACAAAATAAAATTAGAACAATATCCTAAGATCCCAAAATCTAAATACAACACAATCAATGACTTGTCTAAATGCATATACACAAGGCTAATAACTGTTCAAAATTTTATCATATAAAATGGAAAAAATATTTTTCAGTAATTTCTAACAATTATCCAAACTTACTTCAATCAGTTCATCAACATCTTGAACATCTCCTGGAACATCTGACAATGCATTAAATATTTGAGCAGAATTATCCAGGTCAATTAATTCACCTTCCTGGAATTATAACAAAAAGGATAATACTTTAAAAATAAACAAATAAAAATGAATGAAACAAAATTTTAAATAATGTTCAAGATATATAAATATATATTTATGAGAAAAATTAAAAAATTGGTAGAAAATGAATGTAATACAATAAATGAATAGATTACAAAAAAAAATCAATTAAAATGAAGAATGAGACAATTTATACATATTCACATACACATGCTCATATATGAAAAAAATATATATTTATGTACACCAATAGAAAAAGACATACACACAACACATATGAGAATTGATGGATTTTTATTTATTAATCTGACAGATTTTATTACTTGACATTATTTCTAGTGAACCCCCATCTTTCAGTAGACAGTCCATTTATTTATTAAACAGTATACTTAATTTTTGTCTATTGGCTTGAATATTTGAGAAATCTTATTAAAGAAAAATATGAACTCTCCTGCCGCATATGCATTGCCAGGGAAGGGGGAACCATCATTAGTTCTAATGTGTTTTAGAATATAAATAAATATACTATTTAATAGTTAAATGAAATGTCTACTCAAATGTGGGTATCCACTAAAAAATTTAAGCAATAAAATCAGTTGGATGGACAAATGAAAATTGCTTTATTTACATTAGGATACAAAACCAAGTAGATATGCGTATTTCAAGAGTCTGAGAAAGATTTGCATTAATCAACCAGTACAATTGATGAATGACATGAAATCAATAGACAAATCAAATAAACTATTTATTCATGCAGACAAATCAAGAACAATTTATAAAATGGAATCTATCAACTATAAAAAATTTATAAAAAAAATAACCAGAAAAGAAGTAAATAAATTTTACAAAGCTACCAATAATGAATAAAAAAATAACATGAGTTAAAAAAAAACTAAATGAATGCACATTAATACACAATGGAATTAAAAAATGACGCAAAAACATTAAAATTGGAGATATATTAATTTAAGTAACATATCATTGGAAATTGGATGTTTTTCAAAGAGCTTCAACATTTGGGACATAACAACAAGGCACATAATAAGGACTGATATGAACAATTAATTAATTCTTCTATATAAAAAGATTATATATACTAATATAAATATGATGGATACTCCCATCAAGTCCAAAATGAGATTCTGAATTTACCACTCATGTCTATGACGGACATGACTTTTTGAGACTGGCCTGAGAACAAAATAAAAGAACAAACAAACAATACAGGAGACATTATTTTAGTGAACTTTGCAGCAGAAATAAAGTTAGCGTCTTATTTTGCTTTCAGGTTTATGCAGTTCGACTGATGTTTACTCTTCTTGATGGGCATCATTCCTGAATGGCAGCTTGGTTTCCTTACACTGATCTCTTCATATTATATATCTTCAAAGTTCTTGAATGAAATGTTAATGCAAGAAAGGTTACTTTTTCAGTTTATCTAGAATTTAGAATCAAGGTCTACCAACATTTTATGACCACTATGGAGTGAACTGTATAAAGAACTTTAAGAAACCGGTCATCTTTTAAGGTTTATAACATGTCCATCCCAATGTAGATGTGGATTGCATTATGAAAGGTATCTGAAATACCATTTTTTATTTTCAAAAGATCAGCATTTGACACTTGATCATCAAATTTTAGAGATGATTGTATGGAGACAACCTTTACGGGAGACATCTAATCGCTTAATGTGCCATCTTTAAGGTGTCCAAGTTTCAGAGCCATAAAAGATTCGACAAAACGACAGTTTTGTACACTTGGATTTTTGATAAAAAGTATTAAAAAACCTATGATATTTTTGCAATGTGATTAATAATCTTGTCACAAAATGAATATTTGAATTTGGCACCATGCTTCTGAGAATTTTGAAAGATTCCACATACTTGAGATTCTTTTCCATCAACTTGCTAAGGGACCTCAGCAAACTTACAAATAGGGGGGTCTCTGCTTACACCTCTACTTTTTTTTTGAAATGAAGGTTGATGAACACCTTCAGTTTTTTCATATGCTGATAATAAGTCCGAATGCCTTGGTTGAATAAATCATGAGCTCTAAAGAATTAGCTACTAACAATATATTGTATAAAAAGTAGATATATATATATACTATATATAGAAGTGTTTTGGACTTAAACCACTGATGGTTAAACAGTCCGCCATTAGTTTGATAATGAAATTTAACGCCAGGTTTTGTATCCTGAAAAGCATACCTCAGCATCACCGAGAAGAACAGTGCAAACAAAACAGGCGCCATGGCACAGCCCTTCTTAGTTCCATTAGTGATATCAAATGAATCAGAATGCTGATTATATATATATATATATATATAAGGCAGGATGTGTGTGTGTGTGTGTGTGTGCATAAATTTTCTAATTTGATTTGAACCAAAATTTATATGCACATGAAGCCTTTACAGGAAGGCCAATACCAAATTTTTGATTTCCTCTAACTCCCACCGATAGTGGAAATAATTCCATTTTTATTTATATATATACGGCATTTTTATATGAAGTTTGGGATATTTGTACTGGCCAGAGATTGAGTTGAAATAGCTGGCTGCCACATCAATAGACAGGAAGATTCTATTGGCATATCCGGAGAGCCAACAGCTGATCTAAGGTCACTTAATGTTAACTAGAATGCAAAAAATCAATAGCTGCATTTGAAACAAGTGGGAAAAAAATTTAATATGCATGGCACTTACCCCAATTGGCTCATTCACATTGTTTAAACTCAACGTTGATTCTAAATCCTGAAGGCCCAGGGATAAAAGTATTTGTTGTTAATGATCTTTTTCATTGACTTTTTCCAGTTACAAGTCCTTTTTTAAAACTGATCATTTTGTGTTCATTTTGTTAAGTCTTTTTCAGAACGTGATTTAATGTTTAGTATAGAGCTTAGAAAAATTCCACAGGTATGAGTTAGGCAAGAAAAAAGGCATGTAGCAACATCAGCACGGGCAAAGGGCAATTCTTTATAGGCAAAGAAGGGCCAAAATATTTTAGTCAAGGATAGCATTGCTGAACATGAGTTGTATAATTTTTGAAGATGCACGGGCAACGCTGTCCCAAAGCTAGTATATATATATATATATATATATATATATATATATATATATATATATATATCAGTAAACAGTGAATTTATCACTAACGGTGACAGACTGTTTCATTTAAACACAATCATCAGGCCACATGCATTGTTTTTTTTTTTCTCAACTATTTATATATATGGGTCAGTGGGGCATTGTGAGTCGTCTATTCTGAAGGTTATTTTGGCAGGAGTGGCTTAATTAAATTATTTACTTTATTTATTTATTTGGATTAATTTATTTTACTGGGTTTTGTTTATGTATTTTTATTTATTCATTTCAGTTTTTGATTTTTAAGTAATATAGTAAAATTTGTTTTTGTATCTGCATTTAGAGATGATTTGTGATCATTCATTTAGTAGTTTGTTTTCATCTGGGAAGGTAATTATAGCTATTTTTTTCTCCAAGGAGAGTTTGCAGTCTTTGGATTGATTGCTGTAGACTGTTATTATTTTTGTATATTCTTCCATGATATTTTTGGTGTGATTTGTTTTTTGTTTTAAATTTTTCAGATATTCTTTTGAAAGCATTCAAAGTTTATGATTTATTTATTTGTCAAAGATGTTTCCTCTGGCAAATAGTTTATTTGTTTCCAGTGTCCTTTCTATTTAACTTTTCAAATGTATATGTTTTATTTACTGATTATCTGATAAATTTACCGTGATTTTGGTATATTTCATTGTTATGAAAAGTCATTAGAATTTAAGGACATTCATTCATTTTAGCCTTATTCTGACACATGAGTTTAATTTGTTCAGGTGGTTTGTTGATAGTATTCAGACCAAAAAACACTAAGTTGTGAAAATTCCAATTTTGTATATTCCATTTTAACCCAAATGTGAGAAGGGGAATTATGTAAAGTAGAAATTGGAACCGTTTTTTATGGTTCAATAATCATAAGAAAACATAAGGGACAAACAACAAGGTTTTCCATCGGGTCCTTACACTTAAACCAACTTGGTCATAGCATCAACGATGTTGGTTGCATGCTTTTAGCATCTGGGTTCAGTAGCCAGGAGGATAGACGCAGATTGGAGTTGAAGTACATCCTAAAAGTAAATTCTCACTTAGAGAGACTAAACAGAGATTTGGGCTTACTCAGAGAGTAAATTTCCTCCAGGAACCCATTATCAACAACAACACTCCTCGGATGAGTAGGCCCTCCATCCACATTCTAATTCCAAATTTTAACAGCCATCATCTGCCTATATTTTTATGTCCTGCCACCTATGATTTCCCTCATTAGGCACTATTCTGTAATGTGAGTATTGAAATGTACACTGAGGGCTACTTACCAGTCACCCTCTTTTATACCATCTTTAGTTCTATCACTATAGCTTCTTTACATATAAGTTTATGTAAGAAGTGTGAAAGGTTAGTGTACATACATATTAATCTTGTATATGTATTCATATCTTTACGTGTATTGTGATTCATGTTTGTGTGGTGGCTTGTATATTTTTACACACATGTGTATATATGTACACAGGTGCATCTATATATATATATATATATACACTTTTCCGCCCTGCTTTTCTTTTCTTTTTTTTATTTTATTTCTGTACCCGGCTTTTTCTTGTTAACAATAGATTTCTAAATTTTTAACCAGAAATTTTTATCCATTTTATTGTTCCTTCCATTTTTTATTTTCATTTTATTTAATAATATTTTATTACTATATATTCCATTTTTCTCATGTTGTTGCTGGTATAATATGTGATGAAAACAAATTTTCATCACATATTATACCAGTAACAGCCCGTCTTTCTGAACTAGACAACTTTATTGGATAAGTTTTGGCTGCAGCTGGCGAGACGTCTTTCCCCCTCCATAACCTATAACTCTCTTCATCTATGTTTACAAACTTACTTCCCCACTCTCCCCACTAATAATAATGGACTTGCGTAACACCTTTAGACCAATCAAAATTTTCAAATTAAGTCTATTTTCATAAAAAGTTTCACATAGAGAGGAATCAGGCAGACATCGGGTTTTTGCTAGTAATATGATTTCCAACAG